CCGAGAACGTAGAAATTGGCTTTGCTCCATGTCAGGGGCGGTATGTGACGTGGTTACGTGAGGGATGGTATATGTGATGTGAGAGATACATTGCTGTTGGATTTTTTACTTCTCGTTATTATGATGGATCTATTATGTTTCAGGTTAATTATGAGAACGTCAGTTGTCAGCTCGTTACGTGAATTGAAGATTAGCTGAGCTTTGACTAACCTTTAAAAAGAATATTTGGCATCGAAGAGAAATGAAAGCTACTGGACGTTATTCGTTATTGGGATTTTTTTTGCTCATATTGGGATCATTTGTTGGCTATCGGCATTATCTCAAGTTAACATCAAAACTATCCACGATATCATCCTATATTACTGAGTTGGAATTACTGAGTATTCAGACACCATATCATGCCGAAGAATGGCCTATCAAGTTTGTAATAAAACCACTAAGATTAATAATTTAGCAATTTTTGTCAAACACTTTTCAAATACTTTGAGGAATTTTCTTAAAAAAGAAAATTGCATCTTTTATTTTTCATTAATCCATCTTTTTCAAGGCGAAGGATAGATGAACCATTGTTTTATGATAAAGGCAATAAATGAATGAATGATTCTAGGACATAAGCCATGGACTTTGGTATCCTATTGTAGATGTAAATCCGCAGTTTAGATTTTTGAACAGGATTTTGTGTTCTTTCAAGTTAAATTACACGTGTCTCTAAGTACATGTTCTTTTACTTAAGCTTTCCGTAATGATAAAAGCTTAATTAATAAGAAGTACATCATGTATTTCTTTTTACTGGTAGTAAAGCTATATATAATTTACTAACATTAGTCAATATATATATTTCTTTTTTCTGAAGAATTTCTGAATGCACGATGTCGCAGTGCTTCGATTTATCACGGTGTTTAACACACGATGAGTTTCGTGTGTATGTTTATCCGTCAGATAATAGGTCATTGATGTCCATCGTATACAGCAACATACTGAAAGTGAGTTCGTACACGAGTTTGTTTTTTATGTATGCATATCTCATAGTAATAGTTCATTTTTTCTAAGTGAATTTTCTAGTATTATGAAAAAACTAGAAACAGTGGGCATAGATTTTTGAACCTTTAAACGTAACTTGGAAAAAATCTTAGATATTGCTCATTAGAAACCTATTATTTTTGCTGAAGATTATTTTCGACCCAGTTTGATCTGCAGTCTCGCTTCTAATTATTGTTGTCTGAATTTTTTAATCAAATAACAGACTTGTTTTTGACTAAAATATTGTTCGTTTTTCTTATTTTCCTATATTCGAACATTTAATTGTTGATTGTTGATTTAATAAGGATTACTTGTTTGGATTTTCTAGGTTATTCGAGAAAGCACATATTATACCGACGATCCTCAAAAGGCTTGCTTGTTTGTTTTAAGTATTGATACTGTGGATAGGGATAAACGGAGGTAATGGATACTTATTTCGCTCATTGATTATCATTCTTTCGCAAGTGTTTTCTCAGTTTAGCCACGCGATTGTAATTTTTTTTTCAAATTATTTTTCAATTTTACTACAAATGTGATCTTATACTTTTAGCGAAAATTATGTAAAATATGTCAATGAATTAATTGGGAATTTGCCGACTGAAATTTGGAACCACGGCCGCAATCATATTATATTCAATCTTTATCATGGCACATATCCGGACTATTCTGATCATGACCTTGGTTTTGATATAGGCTATGCTCTTATTGCTCGTGCCAGTGCAAACACTCGGGTTATTTAGTTTTTTTATTGTTTGGAGAAAGATAACTTCATCTCGGATGTAACACATTTTCTGAAAGATTTCAGATTTTTAGAGAGAATTTTGATCTATCCTTTCCGCTATTCCACAAGGAACATCCGTTAAGAACGACTATAAAGGTTTGTTTTAAATTTATAAATAAAATTTCTATTTTTTTAGTGGACTGTAAATTCCGTTGCTTTTACGAAGTCTATACTAAGCCAGTTCCTATCAGTAAAGAACGTTTCCAAAATCATATTAGATTATAAATTAAATCAGTTTGTGGAATCATTAATGTATTATCTTTCGTAATAATTTTCCTCTCTAGATTAGAACTATGCACATGAAAGTACTGCATAATTTTAATGTATACTTCATCAGAGAAGCTGTCTACATTTTGTGAGGATAATAATCATCGGATTGACAATTTCAGACAGAATGGTCATTAAAAATAAAAGATAAGTATTTGGTAAGTTTCAAAGGTAAGCGATACGTTTATGGGATTGGTTCGGAAACACGTGACTCTCTTTATCATCTTCATAATGGACAATCTGTAATTATGGTTACAACATGTAAGCACAACACAGACTGGAAAAAATATGAAGATGAACGTTGCGAAGAAGATAATGTCGAGTATGATCGGTAAGGAATAGCTGAACGTGTATTATGCAGCAATTTAGCTTGGATTAATAAACTTGGATTAATAAACTATGTTTTCTGCTTTAATTTTGGATGAATATTGAGAGAGAATTAAAGATCGCTTAAAAAATGAACTGTAGTAGCAGTTAAGATTCATTTCGCCTAAGAATTTAGGCATTTTTCATGATGCATTTAATTAGCGATGTCACACTTTACATTTGTTTGAATGAGAACTGCAAAGAAATGTTTTGGAGATTCAATAGATTGTTTCATTAGGCTATCGATATTTTAAAGAATTTCTTCTGAAATTGGATTTGATCATAAATTTTGATTTTTTTGTATTGCAGCAAAAGAGTTTAAAATTATGATAAAATTTGTTATGGGATTTCCAAATTTTTATGAGCTCTAGTCG